ACCAGCATGGTGCCTTCTGGGAAATGTACCCCCTTGCCCACTGTCCCTTCCACATCGTTGCACCTGCCAAAGCCCCTCCTCTTCTGAGGTCTGTGCTGCTTGGTCAGATGATCTTTTCTTTACTCCAAGACGCTCCCCTACTCTCCTCAGTAGCTTTCTTATCTGGCTCCTATTCCCCATGCCCTAATCCCTCCTCCCTGCAGTCACTGAGAGGAATACTCTGCATAGGACTCCCTTGTCATCCTGATAAGGAAATGATTTTTATCTTTCACTCTGGGATCACTATCCCACATCTTATACCTCGTATTAGGGCCCTCTGGCCAGGGGCCACCAGAGACACCTTCAGGTGAAATCAGTTGGGTTTGTTGCTTGTGGCAGTGAGGGAGATGGGGAACACGGGGCAGCTTGGTAAGAGGCATTAGAAGAAAAGACATATGAGACTTGGGCTTGTGGTGGGTGATTTTAGGAATCAGGACTCAATGCTGTCAGGAGACAGGGTGACTCTATGCCTGAATATCTTTTTTCTGAATATCTTTTGCTATAGGGCATGTGTGCTCACCAGAGAGACAGACACAGAGAGACAGAAAGCAAGAAATCACCCCCTGGTGGGAGGGGTGGTGGTGGTAGCCATGCTGCAATCTCTTCAACATTCTGGATTTTGGGCACACACATGCACACACCTGGTGTGAGTTTCAAGCCTCCAGGTCCAGGACTCAAACTGCAGTTGGTCATGTGTCTAGTGACGTAACCATTATGCCATCTGCTGGTCCCTATGCCTGAATATCTTAATGAGTCCTATCTACAGGGAGGGCCAATCAGAAAAGCTGAAGCCCTCATGGGTGAGAACCAGCAGTAGTTACTCATATTACCTAGGCTTTTCAAGACTGTGGGCTGGACAGTGATCATGCTTGGTCTGTATTCAGATGTGATTATGAGTGGCTGTGTTTATGTCTTGTTCCCTCATGGTCACAGAGTGGCTATGCCACTGCTGATTTTCTGCAAATCTTTTATGTTCCGAAGGAGAAGGCCAAGGCCCAGCTGTGAGCACCAGTCCAGCTCCCAAGTGTCAGGGGCAGCCATGGTGTTTCTGTCTTCTCTTCTCAGAACTGCTCTTCTTGGGAACCAGCAGTTGGCGTAATGGCTATGTCGCTGGACTCCCACGTAGTCGACCGCGGTTCGTGTCCCAGACCCGGTGGCTTAAAACTCACGCTGGGCGCGTGTGCGTGCATGCCCAAGATCCCGAGAGGAGAATGGAAAAGGGATTGCGGCGTGACCATCCCCCCTGGGGGGTGATTTCTCGCTTTCTGTCTCTATGT